CCAGGAGGGTATCAACATGGGAGCGTTTATATTTAATACTACACGTCTTGATGGCAGCAAGAATTCTATGTGCATAATCCTGGAAAAATGAGGAACCACCCATAGAAGAAGATGCAATTTGAAAAAAAAATAAATACTAGTGGTCACTAACTGGTCCGTGGCCCACTGGTGGTCCGTGAGAAAATGTTGGTGGTCCAGAGAAAAATTATTTGCATCTTTTATATTGCACTAAATCAGGGGTCCTCAAACTACGGCCCCTGGGATGGATACATGCAATGAACGTTTGTGTTACTGCAGAGAGTCTCCCCGTTCTGGGTCATTTTGGGCGGTTCGGAGGGGGGCAGAAATTCCGACTTGGGGTCTGCTTCAGCCTCCTGGTGGGGGGCTTTGGGCGAAGGCTGGAGGGAAGCGCCACTGGTGGCAAAGAGCCAGAGGGCCTCGTTCCAGTGGGACTGCATCATGGCCTGGAACTGGCTGACCNAAATGGGGATTTTGCAGAATCCTCCCCCTGCCACGCCCACCAAGCCCCACCCACAGAACCGGTAGTAAAAAAAAAGTTGAATTTCACCTCTGAGTCAGACCCAGCCCAAACACCAGGCAGTAAATAGAATTGGAAGGGACCTTGGAGGTCTTCTAGTCCAGCCCCCTCCTTCACAAGCAGGACACCTTCTACCATTTCAGATAAATGGTTGTCCAGCCCCTTCTTAAAAAATGGAGGCCCCACAACTTCTGGAGGCAGGCAGTTCCACTGGTTAATTGTTCTCACTGTCAGGAAATTCCTTCTTAGTTCCAGCTTGATTCTCTCCTACTCCTCCTCAAATTTCCACCCTTCCATCCACGGACATACTCAAACACACAGGCACACATACATGCAGTTCACAGGTTTGTCTCGTGTGTGAGAAGACATCAGTCATCGATGTGGCTGCTACATCTTTCCACCCCCGGGCTAATGCTCTGAGTCACTTAACAGAATAGCAGACTCGGAAGGGACCCCGGAGGTCTTCTAGTCCAACCCCGATTCAGCAGGAAACCTACAGCAATTCCAGGCAAAGGGGCTGTCTGGTCTCTTCTTGAAAAGCTCCAGTGATGGAGCACCCACAACTTCTAGTGGCAAGCTGTTCCACTGACTAATTGTTCTCGGTGTCAGGAAATTCCTCCTTAATTCTGGGTTCTCTCCTCAAATCTTCGTACTTCCATGCATGCACACACGCACAAACACACACATTCGGGTCCAACTGCGAGGGAGGCTTGCAGAGGGAAAGCCAACTTGCAGTGTTTGCTTTCTTCTTGCTGGACTTTGAAGTGCCAGAGAAGGGAAAGCAGAGCGAGCATTTGGGAAAAGGTTCACGGCCAAAAAAAGCTTACCTGGATTCAGCCAGATTGAAGTCAGCTGTGTCCCCTGATTTACACACAGGTGTAAGGATGAGACTAAAACCTCAACCCACCACAAAGTCACAACCAAACCACTCCCTGCGATGCTCTTAATGAAAACGATGTGTAGCTACCACCTGAGGGGGGGGGGGTCTTCCCACCTGCATGCTGCCTTATGGAGGTCCGTCTTCCCCCCCCCCCCTTGTCCTAAAGGGACCAAAATGGGGGTGCATGGAGCCTGGGGACAAGGCTGTTCCCCAAGATAAACCATCCCTGACCAAGGAGAGATTCAACCTGGCAACTAGGAGGAATTTCCTGACGGTGAGGACAATCCACCAGTTGCCTTCGGAAGTTGTGGGAGCTCCATCCCTGGAGGCTTTCAAGAAGAGACTGGAGTGCCCTCTGTCAGGAATGGTGCAGGGTCTCCTCCTTGGGCTGAGGGGGGGGGGTTGGGCTAGATGACCTCCAAGGTCCCTTCCAACTCTTGTTATTCTGTTACCTGTCTGATGCAGGTGTTTTCGGGGAGGGGGTTGCTGGACCATTCTTCTCCTGGCCAGACCCGGCCGAGGCGGCCACTTGGAGGAGATGGCCTGTGCAGTGGCTGCTGAAGGGGCAAAGGCTGGGGGGGGGGGCACCCTGGCCGGCCTCAGACTGTTCTGGTGAGGGGCCCAGTCGCTGGATGCTGACCTTCTGACCTCCTCCCAGGTGGGCCTCCAAAACTTCCTCTCTTGCTAGACCAGGTAGAACAGGGGAATCTACCTGGAGGAAAGATCTCCAAAGGGAACCAAGGGGGAAGCCATCAACGGCTCCACCTGTGGGACAGGTGAGCTCCTACTGAATTTGCCAGTGTTGGGTCAGCAAGGACTCCCTCCCCAGCCCCTGATGGTCCCCACCTTGTCTTCCAGGTGGTCCTTGACTTACAACAGTTCATTTAGTGACCGTTTGAAGTTACAATGGCACTTTAAAAAAAGTGACCCGTGGCAGTTTCTCACACTTACGACCCTTGCAGATCCCTGTGGTCACGTCATTTACATCTGGATGCTTGACCACTGACTCGCGTTTATGACGCTTCCAGCATCCCGGGGTTACGTGATCCCCTTTTGCAACCTCCTGACGAGCAAAGTCAATGGGGGAAGCGATTCACTTAACAACCGTGTGACTACCTTAACACGTGCAGTGATTCGCTTAACAACCATGGCAAGAAAGGCCGTAAAAGGGGGAAGACTCACTTAACAACTTAGCAGCATAAATTTTGGGCTGAATTGTGGCTGTAAGCCGAGGACTATCTGTACTTTTAAGGTAGTCCTATTGGAGTTTCCCTAACAGAACAGGAAACAAAAGTTATGATTAATGATAAATGAATCCCTTCACTGAGTCACACACACACAAACACAATTGATAACCACCAGCTGGTTTCTCAGATCCACAGGAATAACAGCAACATACATTTTGGGCTGAACTGTGGTCGCAATTCGAGGACTACCTGGAAGGCAGACTTAGCCCCGAACAGCCATGAAGAGGGTTAAACTAAAGGCACTCTTTTTAAAATTTATTTTCTGTAAGCCGCCCGGAGTCCTTCGGGATTGGGCGGCCTATAAATTCATTAAATCAAATCAATCAAATCAAATCAACCCCATCCGTCATGGCGTAGGACATGGTAGATCAGGAAATCTCCAAATCTCCCCACTTTGAAGAGGACTTGTGGACTTCGGCTCCCAGAATTCCTCAGCCAGCCATGGGAGTCGAAGGCCGCAAGTCCTCTTCAAAGTGGGGAAATTTGGAGACCCTCCCTCTGCTCTAAAACAGCGTTTTCAAACTTGGCAACTTTTCAGTGCTGGCTGAAAGGAATTTGAGAGGTGGGCTCCACCGGTGTGAAAGTTGCCAAGTTTGAAAATCGCTGGTCTGAACCAAGCCAATCGGGGTCCATTCCGGCCTATAGAGTGGTGTGTGTGTGTGTGTGTGTGTGTCTCCAACCTTGTGGACTTCAACTCCCAGATTTCAATTCTAGGGTTTGAAGTCCACAAGCGGCCAAGGTTGGAGGCACCTGGTTGATACAATGGGCCGATCGCATTAACAACGTAATTACAAGTGGAAACGGATCCTTTTAAGGGTTTCTACTGAATTCGTTTTAGAGTTCAGGATGTTTTCCTAAGTAAGATTTCCCCAAGTGTTCTGCTTGTTCCTAGAAGTTGTGTGTACCCCACTCTCCTGTCAGAGCTGAAGAAGCTTCTTGGATGAGAAGCAAAACGTCTTCCA